TACGCTGATGGCTGGTCCCTGTGACCGAAATCAGCCTGGAGGATATTTTAATATTATAGGCATCTTTATATATAATTGAAGAATTCATTTCATGGATGTTAAAATAAAATCATGTTTTTATACGAAAACAACTCAGTCAAAGGATTTGTTATGAATAAACAAGGTCAAAAAATGTCAACGCTAATAAATCAAAGCTATGTAGGGATAAAATTTTATCTACAGTTTCTTTATAATTTATATAACAACTTGTTTACTTTGAGATAAAATTCCGAAAGGATTTAGTGGTATTCAAAGATAAATATACAAGTGAAATCTGTTTTGATAGACTTCAAAAATTACTCATTGGGGTGTACGGTTTTTGTGTCTTTAACTGATTTTCGTGATGCTTTTTTTAAGAATAGGTAGAAATACCTCGAGATTGATATTAATAATATTAGCTTCCATTCTGAAATTTTTTTAACAATTTTTATAATATTTCTTAGTATCGAAACGAACTCAAGACCTTACGCACTTTGTTTACTTACTTCTAGACATAATTTGTTTTGGCAGATTTATTTTTTCAATGAAAAAAAAACTCTATAAGCCAATATTTCAACAACGCACCCAATCTATCACGATTTTCTTAGGCTTACCAATCGATCAATCAACTCGACAAAGTGCAGACGGCAATCAATGAATAACTTCGAGGGATTAGTTCTTGTTAAAATGTTTCTAATCTTTTTATATTTCTACTAGCGACCTACCGTATCCTTTATAGTTATACTCGTATATTAAGCGATACGTTTTTTTCACAATTTCATAGGTTTTAAATTTTTTGCGCGAAACCTTCATTCTTTTTCTAAAATGAAAGTAGCCTAAATTACTCCTTATAACATAACCTGTGAAAGTCCCGTCAAAATCGATGTAGCCGTTTTGGTGATTATCCGGAACAAAGAGATAGACAAAAAATTTTAAATTGTTTTCTTCTTATTAATACAGTATAGTATATACTTTCATATACATTTAGTAAAAAGCTGTTATTTTGACATTACAAACAGACACTTTAATTTTATTTTTCTTTTAGATAATTAGGTAGTGTTTACGATTTTGGCATCATACAACTTGGCAATTTATCACATAATAGTGATGTTACTCTTTAGCTCGCCGCTTAGTGCGTTTCGAGTTTTATTTGTTCGATAATTACGTAATAAATAGAAAGATTTACAAAATCTTTTAATACGTATAATTTAAAATATTTGGTCACAAAACAACATAAAAAACAAAATTATTTTAAGGTAATCAAAACGAAGGTACAAAATTCAATTGAGGTTAAGAGGTTTGACGACACATTTGGTTCAGTTTGTTGTGACCCTACTTGCTGTGCCAGCGGTCGCGGGATTGAGTCCCGCTGGAGGCATTCATTTGTGTGATGACCACGAATGTTTTTTCTCCAGTCATCAATTATTATCTGTTATCCATAACACAAGCTTCGTAGCTTACCATGGAACTAGATGGTGCTGTGTTTTAATGTTCCAACATATTTATTATTTATTTTAAAGAGTTATTTTAATTGCTTTAATTAGTTGTACATAATATGAGACATATTTGCTTTAAAGCTATACTGAATCCAACACAAAGGAATGCTTAGAATCAGTGACATACATGAATCTAAAAAAATATACACGAAGTATTTGTAAACTTTTTTAAAATCGATCCAAGAGTAATAATAAATTAAAAAAACAAACAATCTAACACATCTTAAATTACTGTAAAGTGCCTCGAGCTAGATCGATTTCTTATTTCATCGACCTATTATTTTTAAGTCAATGACTAAAACGAAATTTATTCCACCGTATCACTTATTTTCAAGTAGAATTACAAGCAAAAGTAACACAAACATCAAGCGCCTGAAGCGAGTAAAACAATCTTCGGTCGTATTTAAATGCTGAAATACATCTTATTAACGTAAGTAAGAGCACAGCTGTTGATCACGCTAAGCTTTCCACTTGACGGATTGCTTTAGATTAACAACTGCTTCGTCTCAGAGCCATTCGCATTGTAGATCTATAATAAACAAGGTATTGAAATATCTATCTGTAAAATATTATTTTTAAGTTATGTACACTACACATATATAACTTTAAATACATACATATAATAAATATAAACACCCATGACTGGATTACAATCATTCGTGCTCATCACACAAATGAATGTCCCTAACGGGACTGGAAACCGCGACCACTGGCGAAGCAAGTAGGGTCACTACAGAGTCAAACGTGTTGAGAAGTTACGATAAGTTAAAATATAAATAAAAATATGTTTGTATATTACCTATAATAATTAAGCAATTTGCACGTATTTTTTAAATCTACCTGTTATTGGGTCTAATCTTAAAATTGCTGAATTCATTTTAATGAACATCTCAACGACAGATAGAGAACTTGTAAGAGAATCAAATAAGCTATACATATGTTATGCTTTAGAAATAACATTTTATTGCGAGAACATTAAATGTTTCTGTGACGTAAGTGGTTGATGGATTGCTTTAGATTAACAGTTGTTTTATATAAGGCCCTTTTCCAGTGTGACGACAAAATGTTTATTTATTATAAACAAGATCTCGAAATATGTGTTCTTGAACATGAATAAAAACTATTATATATTATAAATAATAGTTATAAACTATTTCGATATTTATTTCAGACTAGCGACTCGCCCTCTCTTCGTTTCGTGTTCGTCCTTAAACAAAAACAAATCTATCCCACGGGAACCGTATATTGTTCCGGGATGATATATAGCTTATAGTTTTCCCCAATAAATGGGCTATCTAATGCAAAAAGAATTTTTCAAATCGGATTTGTAGTTCCTGAGATTAGCGCGTTCAAACAAACAAACAAACTCTGCCTCTTTATAATATTAGTATAGATTTAGTATCAAACTGTCTTTTAAAAAGACACTTCCACAAATAAAATTCAAGTGTTTGTGTGTCCGTATAAAAAGTAATTAAAGCTAATGTAACTGTTTCATTTTTTTTTTTAATTTTAATGTGCCTTTTCACATATATATATATATATATATATATATATATATATATTATATATATATATATATATATATATATATATATATATATATACAATTTTATCAAAATTCTATTATGCGTAAATAGATACTGTTACAGCTAAGATTATTCGGTTTGAGATGGGGTTTAATATTTATTGCCAAACAGAGTTGATATGAAAGGGGTAAAAGTCGTTTGAATATCGGTATCAGTCGATCATCCCTAGTTTGCCCATAACTGTTTAGAATATATAAATATTATACTTAGATTAAAAACTAGCGACTCTCCCTCACTCTGCTCGGGTTCGTCCCTACGTTTTAACGGTTAGTGTAGATTCCTCAGAGGTGAAATATGTATTTTCCCGGAGTAAAAAGTATCCTTAATGTTGGCCCGAATAACCAGCTATCATAATACCGAATTTCATACAAATCTGTCCAGTGGTTTTCTCGTGATGCGTTCCCAGAAAGACAGACAGACGGACAAAAATTCTAAAAACTATAGATTCGGCCTCTGTATCAATAATAATGTCTATTTCAATAAGATTTTCCAAAAAAAAATATTTAATGTACAGATTTGGCTCTATTAGAATTTTATTTTATGTTTAGATAAGCTTAAATTATTTGAATAAATATAAGCTTAAATTTATTGAAAAACTAAAAATATATCGTGTTTTCGACCAACTAATGTAAAGGTAATGTAAAGGTATGGAGGTCTTCAAACTGATTTAATTGAGCCCAAACTCTAAACTTTAGAGTCTAAACCTTTACTAGGCATTAAAGAGTTCCATTATCCACTTACACCTGTCATCCTATCAACTATATATACTCGTATAAGTAGCGGCTCACCCTCGTTTCGCTCGGGTTCGTCGCTAGGTACGTTTTAAATAGATATACATAGTTATTAGCCAGCGATAGCCATATATAATATACATTTTAAATTTTTTTTTCATTAACTTTTCAATTTTTTCTTTCATAATAACCTTCTCCTGACAATAACAAACACAACAACAAAAATAGTTAAATCGGTCGAGCCGTTAAATAGGGATTCATTTTTATATATATAGATGGCATGAAGTTATTATATTAGTGCTATAATTTTACAAAATTTTAAATCTCACGACTTATTAGAAACAGGTTATATTTTATTGACTTTTAAGATTTCATTACACAGTGAAGCTAATAAAAATCCCTTGAAAAGCTAAACATATACTGAGTAAACTTTTATATTTATGTAATTTAAAAAAATGTTTAGAGTAGTTCATGCTGACAATAGTTTGTTGGGACATTATGTTGGGACAATAAGACACAGCACGATCTAGTTCCATGATAAGTTACGAGGCTTGTGTTATGGATACCAGATAGTTGATACACTACATATATATAACTTTCAAATACATACATATTATAAATATCAACACCCATGACTGGAGTACAAACATTCCTCCTTATCACACAAATGAATACCCCCATTGGGACTCGAACGCGCGACCGATGGCACAGCAAGTCTGGTCACTACAAACTGAGCCAAACGCCATCACAAATTTACCATAAATTTGACAAAAATACATCAAAACATAAAAAAATATTTTCATTTAACCAATATTTTATTACTAAAATAATAATAATATTTAATTGTACGTTTTTAACGAATTACGACAGTATGACACAATGTCGTATGTGAAAAGTTGTCAAGGGCTTACAAAACCCTTTACTAAGTATAAAGAGACAAATCCGAGCGTATTCTGAGTAATTAACGACGAGATTAAAATGTATATTTTTGCTACGCACGCTTGTTAGGAAATGTTTACGTGTAGATTTGGCGAATGAGATGTTAAATTTTACATCTTTCATTTAACATATACCTAAAGCTTTATTCTAGTAGTATTTTTCCTTTCCCCCCCAGCTTTACTCGTGCATTAATGTTAACACACATAAAACATGGTTTAAGCTTTGGTCTAGTGGCTAGCAAGTAAGGTAGATGAGGAGGTCTTGGGTTCGAGTTCTGGATCGGACCAAAGTTTAGTTCCTAGCCCTCCTCCCATATCTTGGAGTATGGCAAAGCCGTCAATCCACGTCTGATATTTCACCGGTCGTGTCGAATTGTCGCCGCACTGGAGTATGAGAGTGACAGGAATAGAAAGTGCACTTATTTGCGCATCCTTGTGCACTATAATATATTTTGTGCTTATTGCTAGTCTTAGTGAAATATGTGGACGTCGAGGCCCAAAACGAGAGGAGGTCATAGGTAACATGGCAATGGTCTTTATGAATTAATAATTTAAGCAAAATCTATGACTTTCGAAGCATAAGTTATATATAGCAGCTTTCAGGGTACCTGCATAAACGTATTTATATGTTATTGCATGAGAGAAGAAAAAAACAAACCATACATATATAATAGTGATATTAATATATATAATATTTAAAGCTGACATATTAAACCAAGTTTTGTTTTAATCAATTCTATAGATACAAATGTACAGCTTGTGGTCTACAATGTGGTCCCATATACAACGGGGTCATGATTACCAGGTGGCTGAGCATTAAATGATAATGTATATCACATAGAATAGCTAATCTATTTATACAATTGAATTGTTATAAAAACATAGTCATATAATGGATATATTTTCATTTACTGTTGATTAGCGATTAACCCACACTTCGCTTGATTGCGTCCTTAGTACGCGGATTTTGTTCACAATTTCAAGTGTTTTAATTTACTTCCGTGGAAGACTGAGTCTTTTACTAAAAGTGTCCTAAATTACTCCTTATAATATCAGCTATCTACCAATGACAGTTCTGTCAAAATCGGTCCAGCCGTTTCGGAAATAAGCTGGAACAAACAGATGGACAATATATATTAAAAACACACAGATAATAAGGTTAAAAATGATTTTTTTATATATAAATACCGTTTATACTTTCATACGCATTTAATAAAACGCTGTTATTTTAACATTACAAACAGACACTTTAATTTTATTTATCTGTATACATAGATTTGATTATTTTTGGGAGTTCAAAGTTTACATACAAGGTATATGTTTATATTTTTTTGGATATGGCTTAAAATAAAAACAGAGGTTGTATGACCATATTTTTAATTTTATTTCCAATATAAGAATTATAGCTGCGTCGGTTGGTGCAGTAGAGGGAACGGTAAAGCCGCATAATTGTAGTCTGTTATTTGTAGCTATGCAAATAAAATACTTTCTGATTAATTGTCATAAACTTATATTTTAATTCATTTCAAAATTTCGATTCAAATCATAGTTAAGTGTACAATAATCCAAATCTGTTCAGCCATTACAGGGGGAAGAAGTATCAAATATATGCATATATTACACTAGCGACTCACCCTTGCTTCGCTCGGATTCGTCTCTAGCTTGATTCCCTATACAAACTTTCATCCCCATTTTCATCTTAAAGAATGATTTCTGGGATAAAAACTATCCTATGTCCTTCCCAGGGTCTCAAACTATCTTCTAAAGTGTTCAGTAGTTTCGGAGCCAATTTCGTACAAACAAATAAACAAAAAATCAAATCTTCCCTCTTCTTATTATTATATTATATATTAGTATAGTGTAGATATATATACATATGTACATTACACATACAAACAAACTTTCATTTATAATACTCGTAATAGTTTGATTACTAATAATGCCTTTGTTACAGATATACTTTTTGGTGAAATAAGAAGATTTACGGCTGCAGTTTTATAGAAAAACGATCAACGGTAAGTAATTTATAGACATAATAGTGTAAACGTTTTGTACTGAAATTACATTTATGAAGATTTATGTTTTCATTGTACATTTAAAGTTTTAGACGATACTGAAAATATTATAATAATGCTTTCAGCAATTATTAATATATTCATTATTAAATTTATTATACTATATGTATTATATTAGTATTTATTAAGTCTACTTTTAATATGAGAGAGACATATATAATACAATATACATACGTTATTATTTGATAATTATAAATATAGAAATCGAGTGAAATGATTTCAAATGCAGAGTCTCGCACCTGTGATATTTTCATGTGCGAATCATTTTTAATATGGTTATTGGTTATCACTTGTCTTACGGTTAAAGAAAATATCGTGCGGACTCCTGTACCTCTGAGAAAACCAAAAATTTTTTTGAAGGAGATGTCAAGTCGGCCAACCCGTACTTGGCCAGCGTGGTGGACTGTGGCCTGAATATACCCTGGCATTGAAGAGAAGCGCTTGCCCAACTGTGAGAGTTGAAAAAGGGCTCAATACACACCCTGCCGTCATAAAAAAGAAGGCCGCAAATTCGTCAAAGTTGATTTCAAGATATTTTTATCTATAAAATTGTATTTTTTTTGCTGATTCCGAATCTGCATTTAAGTCATTTTTGACCAAATTTTTAGGTAGGGCCTTCTCTATTATGATAGCAGTACCTACATTATGGATTTGAACGAAATCTTATATATGCGCTTAAAAATATTTAAGAATTGACGTTATTTCGGTGATATAATAGAAGCCGAATCGATAATTTTCAGGCATTTTCATCTGTCACTCTTATATTATCGTTTACCACACTTGATAACGGTGTGACGGATATGAATATTGTATTACAATTATTATTTAAAAAATAACTGTTTGAGTTTTTATTCTCCATTTATATTAAATATTTAATCAGCCGAATGGAACCTAAATATCAGCTAAAGCTTTATCACTTAAGCAAAATAAATTAATTAAAAAAAACTACATACGTACCAATATATAACCTACACCTTTTTTGAAATTCGTTTAAAACTAGACCTAAACTATACCTACAGTACCTTACATAATACTAATTGCTACTTAATTAATCTAAACACTAAAGCACTATCTAGAAAAAATAATAAAATTTAAAATATTATAGATTTCCTATAAAAGTAATTAAGAAAAAGCTTTTCGTTTTATTACGATGAAATACTTTCTATTCATTCCGTGACCTTTATATGGAATTTTCTTAGTGAATCTTTTTCATTTCAAAGAAACGGGAGAGTTTTGAACTATTAATTTTGCTATTTATTTTTTAACTCTATTCAAACTTTTATATATTCCTTTAAGATATTTAAATTTTATAATAGATGATAAGTAGTTACACAAAATTATTTTATTGACCGATTTCAAAAAGGAGGTATTCATTTCGTCTGTATTTTTGTACGTATATACATAGATATGTTACGCGATATCTTCTCCAAATATGAATTAAATTATATAATACTAGCAGAACCAAAAGCATTAATACCAAGTTTCAAGTAAATCTGATCAAAAATATTTTTTCGGATTGTATTTAACATGTTTTCCCGTGGGAATTAGATGATCTCCCGCCTATGTCACTCTCCAGCCCTCCAACTATCTTCACACAAAAAATCACGCCAATCCGTCACTAAGTTTCGACGTAAAAGAAAGACAAACAAAAAAACACACTTTCGCATTTACAATATTAATTAGTATGGATTTTTTTTAATAAATAGGTTATTATTATACTTTAATATTTATTTTCTACATATATATTAATATCTCGCTCAATCTGAGCTTAAAAATTTAAGCAGATGCGAGATACTTACATTAAATATACGTACGCCTTACAAAAACATATATATGTATATTTACACTGTGGATTTATCAAATGTAAGCTTTGGACACATTTATGGTGTTCAAAATAATGATGGAATCGTAATGAAGTCTACTCAATCGCATTGTTATAGTTATATCGGTATAAATTAATTATTACCTAAATAAATAACTAACCGCCGGGTATTTCATTTATGTATTACAATCTATACATAATACATATAATGAAATTGTAACCAAGCCGAATCTGTACATTAAATATTTTTTGGAAAATCTTATTGAAATAGACATTATTATCGATACAAATGCCGAATCTATAGTTTTTAGAAATTCTGTCTGTCTGTCTGTTACCGCATCACAGAAAAAACCACTGGAGGGGTTTTGATGAAATTTAGTATGATGATAGCTGGTTATCCAGGTCAACATATAGGATACTTTTTACCGCGGGAAAATATCTCATTTCTGAGAGAAAATACAAAAACTGCATTGTAAAAGTATACTAATATGTAATACCTAAGAATTTGCTTTTCGGTCATCTGAACGCGGGCAGAGCCGCGGGCAATGCTAGCATTTTTATAAATTGTAGCTTATGAGTTAGTCTGATGAATAAGAATGAAATATTATTATAAAGTTAAGATCAAAAACTGTTTAGTAGTTTTAGTGTGAAACAGTAACAAACATTCATCTATACAAACCTACTAAACTAACATGTTTGTAAATTATTCAATATGTCTTAACACGTCCAGGTAAATTTCTAAGAAATTAATTAAATTTCTAAGACGCGGCGTGTCCGCGGTCGTGGAAGGGTTAAAAAAACAATCAGGAAATATGCTTAGACCAACAAACATTACCTCAAATATATTATAGTTATATTAGTAATTTATAAAAAAGCTTATTAATAACTATAGTTAATATTTATCTTTAACAGTGGATCAAAACTTTCTAAAGCTAGACATAGGGAACGAAGGAAATGTAGCGATTTTAATAATGCCAAGATTCTTCAGGCTTGGTTTAATCTAAGAATAAAATAGGTATAAAAGGTCATCTCGCAATGGATATGCAAGCGTATTCAGTTTGCAAGATTGCATCGAGGTAGAGTCAGGTATTTTTCCAAATTTTCGGGATATAGCGGATTCTAGGAAGAATGGCTTCCAGACAACCAGATTTATTTCGATCACATTTTACAATTGCAACGAGCTGTTCCGAAATTGTATTTCTTTATTGTATTCCCAATGTCTTTAGTTGTTTAAAGATTTTGAAATACTGTTTTTGCATATTTTGCTTGCATATAGATTTTTGGTATAAGCTACTTATAAATTATGAGATTTTAAAACAATGAAATCGTCATAAAAACAACAATATTAATCATAAATCTATATATTTTTATTTCTTCTTTGACGACATGTTTGGCTCAGTTTGTAGCGACACTACTTTCTGTGCCAGCGGTTGCAGATTCGAGTCCCGCTGGAGGTTTTTATTTGTGTGATGAGCACGAATGTTTGTACTCCAGTCATGGATGTTTATATTTACAATATGTATGTATTTAAAGTTATATATGTGTAGTGTATCAACTATCTGGTATCCATAACACAAGCCTCGCAGCTTACCATGGAACTAAATGGTGCTGTGTGCATGGAACTAAATGCCAACATATTTATGTATTTATTCTTACAAAACTTGAACAAAAATGTATTTATACACATATTATAATTTTTTTGTTAAATCGAACAGAGAACAATTTCGTATATTTTTTATTAGGGATATATTGAAAATATTTCTATCGATTCGATGATTACAAGTGACATATTTAAAAATCGTAAGAATGACTGAACAGATTCTAAGTAGCTTTTTCATTTTTTTGTTCATATATCAAATGCATAAAAACTTACTTAAAATAAATTAAAAGTTTCACGCATTGCACTAATAGGCGAGAAAGAAATAATTGTAATTTTAAAGAGAGATATTTACATAGTATTATATGTAGAGATATTTACAATGTATATTAGCTATTTACATATTTTGTTATAGCAAATAATAATAGACTATCAGTAATACGCTAATACGCTGGTTTAGAATCTCGACTTAAGCGAGTTCAGACCCTGGTATCGTAACTCAGATTTTTTATATGCGAATCGTTTTTATCATTATTATTAATTACTAAGGAACTGAAGGAAAAGATCGTATGAAAATCTGCATGTTAGGGATAACATAAAGGGTTTTCTAAAGACATGCGAATTCCACCAATCCGCATTTAATCAGCGCGGTGAACAATGGCCTGTGGTCAGCAGTGAGTATATTGAAAATATGAGTTAATAATTTATTTATATTGTCTATAGACTTTTAAATAAAGAAAGACAAAGGTATACGTATAATAAAACCTAAAATCTTTTTAGAGGCATCACATTTTTCAAAATACATGTTCATATACAGCACCATTCATGTTTTTGAAGCTATTGTAAGGCTATGGGATGAAAGTGAACAAATAAAACCGAAACGTTTGACAACAAACGTCCTTTGAGATTCAATATGGTCCTATCAAATGATAAATTATTGTCAAAATACTACGTAGTAAAGTAAACTTGCTTAGTATTAACATAATATATTGAAACTTCATATACATACAAAATAAAATGAAACAAATTTTATTCAATTAGACTTATTATAAGCACTTTTGAATCGTCAATTTAATTTAAAGAGCGTCAGTGTATTCCGTCCGTGAGAAAGCTACCATCGACTCAAAAAACAGTTCCGCTGAGAAGAGCCGGTGGGAACTGCTTTCAGAGCGGGTGGAATATGTGTTTATTAAGTATTTTTAATAAAACAGAATCAATAACAATGAAAAAAATTATCCAATACCAGGCTTGCCCGCGGCTCCACCCGCAATCAGATGACCAAAATCCAAGTTCTTTTACATATTACATAGGTTTTACATATTAGTATACTCTTACATTACAGTTTTTGTACTTTTTTTCAGAAATGAGTTATATTCCCAGAGTAAAAAGTATCCTCCCCCCCAACGTGCGTTCACCTTGTCGTGGTGGGAGGGCTCAGTAGTGCCCGGCATCCAACCGGGCGCGAAGCTAAGAAACGCACAGGGAGGTTGCCCACTTCGGTGGGCGGTGGGAGGTGGCCCTCTTCGGGGGGGTGGTGTACCTTGCGGGTTGCTCCTGGTACTTCTCTGATAGCAGAGTAGACCTTGGAGCAACCCCATGGTTGTGGTGGTCTGCTTTGGCAGACCTGCCGTCGGGGTGTCGTAGTTGAGCGTAATGCGTAAGCGATCCTGCGACGCCTCATTAAGACGGGGGAAGGTTTTGTTGGGTTTTAGTGGGTAGTACTGGCTGTATTACGCCGGTGAGTCCCACACGTCGTGCGTAAATGCATTTCCCAACTTTAAAAAAAAAAGGGTAAAAAGTATCCTATATGTTGACCTGGATAAACAGCTATCACCATACCAATATTCATCAAAATCCCTCTAGTGGTTTTCTGTGATGCGGTAACAGGCAAACAGACAGACAGACAAAAATTCTTCCAAAACAAAAAAAAACAAAAAATATTTAATGTACAGATTCAGCTTAGTTATAATTTTATTATATGTATAGAAAACATTGAAATATTATAGAAACTATAAGCTGATCACATCTATACATAATATAATAAAAGTGTAACTAGGTAGGTACGTTTTTACAGTATGGAATAAGTAGACTATAATTAGTATACATTTATATTATATTACTGCTCTACTCCCTTGTAGCATGATGATATATAGCCTAAAGCTTTCCTCAATAAACGGGCTATATATTAGATTTTTTTTAAATCGAATAAGTAGTTCCTGAGATTAGCGCATTCAAGCAAACAAACAAACAAACTCTGCCTCTATATTATATTAGTATATTATATCTATATATGATTAATTGTTATATAAAGTTATAGCAATAACTCTTTGGCAAGAGTAATGAAGTTTTTTGTTTTTTATTTTTAGTTTAATATTTGAGTAACAAATAACTAATTGAGAATTCAGCATATAAAAATAGATCGCTCAGATTTCATGCATTTGTAAAAAAAAGCTTTAACGATTGTTTTGTTCAAAATCAAATAGCGATTGGTAAATTTACAGAGAAGAGAAAATTTTTTGGTTATATATTTTGCTGATTTGGTGATCGACTCATCGTATTATTTATTCTTTTTAAATATTTTCTATAATATCTCCGAATATCTTCTTAAGTATATTATTGACTTGATTTCACTTTTGTCAACGGGCTTTGACAAATTTCAATACTAGCAGTCCCCTGGGCGGTTTTATTAGCGTCCGACAATCCAGCCAGGCGTGAAGCCTAAAACTCATTGGGAAGCGGCCCTCTTGATGTGCGGTGCATCTAGGGGGATTCTCCTGGTACTTCTGTTATAACAGATTGGATTATAGGAGCAACTCCTTGGTTGTTGTGCTCTGCTTTGGCAGACCTGCCGTTGGGGCGGCGTGGTTGAGTCCGTAAGTGATACTCCAACGCTCTATTAAGACGGGGAGCTTCGTTGGGTTTTATTGGGTAGTATTGGTTCTTTTAGCCGGCAAGTTCCACATAACATCTGTATTTACAGGTGGTATGGTTAAATGTATTTCCCAACATTAAAAAGTTCATATTCTATCTAAATAACGCTAATTATAGTTTTGATTCTAGAACGTTTATAAACGCGAAATCACTCAGAAACATGAAAGTAATATCTTTTTATTTAACAGTATAATTATTAGTCATTGACAAAACATAATTAATATAAAAAAAATACAAATAAGATGTAAATTAATGTTATAATGGTGAATATAATTCTGTCTGTATGATCATTATATATTATTTTTTCATACTTAAACCGAACAGTGCTTCGGTTCAGTAGAACAGGTTTAGATAAAATCTAGCTAAGATATAGATTGGAGGAGACAGATAATACAGGCTCGCTATATTCTTGCCTGGCTTAGACTACGAGTAAAACTGCAGGCATAAACTAGTATTAGATGATAAATCCATACTAATATTATAAACGCGAAAGTAACTGCCTGTCAGTTTGTCCGTCTGTCTGTTACCTTTCCCCGATTTATCCTCTGAACCAATTTAGGTGAAATTTGGTATGGAGATAGTTTGAGACCATGGGAAGGACATAGGATAGTTTTATCTCAGAAATCATCCCTTCAGGTGTGAACAGGGGGGTGGAAGTTGGAAGGGGAATCGATCACTTCTCAAGTAAAGGAGATAAAATTCATCATACATATCTATATATGTATAGTCTATATATTCCATATTAAGCATCGAAACGCTCCTTATCATAAATTGGTCAGAACGATAACTTTATTTTTTACAACTAAATCAGTGAAACGTGCGTATATTTAAACAAATCCGCCATTTTTAGAAATGGACCAATTATCCTGTTATTTTGTATGTAACAAATATACCACAACAGGAATCATAAAGAATTTCCCCCATAAAACTACTAACCTTCTAAATCGGACATTGTTTTAGTGCCAGCCAAATTGTGTCAATAAAACAGTTTCGTAGACTCGTAAATTTTTTGTTAGCGTGTTGACTTTGCGGATCACTAATAAATCGTCACAGGACAAATATTGTAACTCCATTGTTTACGTTAAACTGAATAGTGTTTATTAAATTTTACTATTTCAATAACTTTTCAATTTCATTGTTGAAGCGCAAGTCACAAGTTTGATTTTCGTATAAAGTAAAAGCTCTCTTATTGTACAAGGCGTTCCCGACGTTTTGAATGCATTACAGAAACCATGGTCACGGGAGTGACAATGGTTTTAGTTGTCTCAAAGGCAGTATATAGTTATTAAAATAACAACAACTAACAACTATCTATCTCTGTGCCAAAATTCATCTAGATCCGTTTAGCCATTTTGGCGTGATTGAGTAACAAACATACAAACATCCAAACATTTAAACATCTAAACCTTCACATTTATAATATTAGTAAGATCAGAATAAAACAGAGAAAAAAATGATTCGTATTCAGATAGAAAAAGCGCGAGATACTGAAGTAATTCTGAAAGTGTTTTGTCAGATTCTTGAACGACCATATACGTGTCAGATTATGAGGAACAAAAGTAATAATATAAAAGTCTTAAGAACGTATATGTTAAAATATAAGTATGCGCTATACTTTTACAGAGTAAAATTTTTGCTTATAATGTAAGAGTGGAAAGGTTTTTGCTGACTAAGAACTTTCATATTCGAAAATACAAGTACGCGTGCGAGGCGGTAACGTTGAAATATCGTATGTAGACATTTTTCACAAGAAACTCAATTTTGGTATATTTTAGTATTTAGAGACTAAAAAGCCCACTTTGTGAATGAATATAAATATAATAACTACATACGTTTTAACTTTTACTTTTTCTAATTTTACGTTTGAAAGGCCGAAATGGAGAGCTTTATCTTCTATACATATAATAAAATTGTAACTTAGCCGAATCTGTACATCAAATTTTTTTTTTAAAATCTTATTGAAATAGACATTTTTATCGATACAGAGGCCGAATCTATAGCTTTTAGAATTTGTCTGTCTGTCCGTCCGTCCGTCCGTCCGTCCGTCCGTCCGTCCGTCCGTCCGTCCGTCCGTCCGTCCGTCCGTCCGTCCGTCCGTCCGTCCGTCCGTCCGTCCGTCCGTCCGTCCGTCCGTCCGTCGTCCGTCCGTCCGTCCGTCCGTCCGTCCGTCCGTCCGTCCGTCCGTCCGTCCGTCCGTCCGTCCGTCCGTCCGTCCGTCCGTCCGTCCGTCCGTCCGTCCGTCCGTCCGTCCGTCCGTCCGTCCGTCCGTCCGTCCGTCCGTCCGTCCGTCCGTCCGTCCGTCCGTCCGTCCGTCCGTCCGTCCGTCCGTCCGTCCGTCCGTCCGTCCGTCCGTCCGTCCGTCCGTCCGTCCGTCCGTCCGTCCGTCCGTCCGTCCGTCCGTCCGTCCGTCCGTCCGTCCGTCCGTCCGTCCGTCCGTCTGTCTGTCTGTCTGTCTGTCTGTCTGTCTGTCTTGCTGTCTGTTACCGCATCACGGAAAAACTACTGGAGGGATCTGAACGCGGGCGGAGCCGCGGGCAATACTAGTACACTATATTTTCTTATATACATACGCTTAACTTAGAACATTACAAACGCTTCTTAAGTATATTATTGACTTGATTTCACTTTTGTCAACGGGCTTTGACAAATTTCAATACTAGCAGTCCCCTGGGCGGTTTTATTAGCGTCCGACAATCCAGCCAGGCGTGAAGCCTAAAACTCATTGGGAAGCGGCCCTCTTGATGTGCGGTGCATCTAGGGGGATTCTCATGGTACTTCTGTTATAACAGATTGGATTATAGGAGCAACTCCTTGGTTGTTGTGCTCTGCTTTGGCAGACCTGCCGTTGGGGTGGCGTGGTTGAGTCCGTAAGTGATACTCCAACGCTCTATTAAGACGGGGAGCTTCGTTGGGTTTTATTGGGTAGTATTGGTTCTTTTAGCCGGCAAGTTCCACATAACATCTGTATTTACAGGTGGTATGGTTAAATGTATTTCCCAACATTAAAAAGTTCATATTCTATCTAAATAACGCTAATTATAGTTTTGATTCTAGAACGTTTATAAACGCGAAATCACTCAGAAACATGAAAGTAATATCTTTTTATTTAACAGTATAATTATTAGTCATTGACAAAACATAATTAATATAAAAAAAATACAAATAAGATGTAAATTAATGTTATAATGGTGAATATAATTCTGTCTGTATGATCATTATATATTATTTTTTCATACTTAAACCGAACAGTGCTTCGGTTCAGTAGAACAGGTTTAGATAAAATCTAGCTAAGATATAGATTGGAGGAGACAGATAATACAGGCTCGCTATATTCTTGCCTGGCTTAGACTACGAGTAAAACTGCAGGCATAAACTAGTATTAGATGATAAATCCATACTAATATTATAAACGCGAAAGTAACTGCCTGTCAGTTTGTCCGTCTGTCTGTTACCTTTCCCCGATTTATCCTCTGAACCAATTTAGGTGAAATTTGGTATGGAGATAGTTTGAGACCATGGGAAGGACATAGGATAGTTTTATCTCAGAAATCATCCCTTCAGGTGTGAACAGGGGGGTGGAAGTTGGAAGGGGAATCGATCACTTCTCAAGTAAAGGAGATAAAATTCATCATACATATCTATATATGTATAGTCTATATATTCCATATTAAGCATCGAAACGCTCCTTATCATAAATTGGTCAGAACGATAACTTTATTTTTTACAACTAAATCAGTGAACGTGCGTATATTTAAACAAATCCGCCATTTTTAGAAATGGACCAATTATCCTGTTATTTTGTATGTAACAAATATACCACAACAGGAATCATAAAGAATTTCCCCCATAAAACTACTAACCTTCTAAATCGGACATTGTTTAGTGCCAGCCAAATTGTGTCAATAAAACAGTTTTGTAGACTCGTAAATTTTTTGTTAGCGTGTTGACTTTGCGGATCACTAATAAATCGTCACAGGACAAATATTGTAACTCCATTGTTTACGTTAAACTGAATAGTGTTTATTAAATTTTACTATTTCAATAACTTTTCAATTTCATTGTTGAAGCGCAAGTCACAAGTTTGATTTTCGTATAAAGTAAAAGCTCTCTTATTGTACAAGGCGTTCCCGACGTTTTGAATGCATTACAGAAACCATGGTCACGGGAGTGACAATGGTTTTAGTTGTCTCAAAGGCAGTATATAGTTATTAAAATAACAACAACTAACAACTATCTATCTCTGTGCCAAAATTCATCTAGATCCGTTTAGCCATTTTGGCGTGATTGAGTAACAAACATACAAACATCCAAACATTTAAACATCTAAACCTTCACATTTATAATATTAGTAAGATCAGAATAAAACAGAGAAAAAAATGATTCGTATTCAGATAGAAAAAGCGCGAGATACTGAAGTAATTCTGAAAGTGTTTTGTCAGATTCTTGAACGACCATATACGTGTCAGATTATGAGGAACAAAAGTAATAATATAAAAGTCTTAAGAACGTATATGTTAAAATATAAGTATGCGCTATACTTTTACAAAGTAAAATTTTTGCTTATAATGTAAGAGTGGAAAGGTTTTTGCTGACTAAGAACTTTCATATTCGAAAATACAAGTACGCGTGCGAGGCGGTAACGTTGAAATATCGTATGTAGACATTTTTCACAAGAAACTCAATTTTGGTATGTTTTAGTATTTAGAGACTAAAAAGCCCACTTTGTGAATGAATATAAATATAATAACTACATACGTTTTAACTTTTACTTTTTCTAATTTTACATTTGAAAGGCCGAAATGGAGAGCTTTATCTTCTATACATATAATAAAATTGTAACTTAGCCGAATCTGTACATCAAATATTTTTTTTTAAATCTTATTGAAATGGACATTTTTATCGATACAGAGGCCGAATCTATAGCTTTTAGAATTTGTCTGTCTGTACGTCCGTCCGTCCGTCCGTCCGTCCGTCCGTCCGTCCGTCCGTCCGTCCGTCCGTCCGTCCGTCCGTCCGTCCGTCCGTCCGTCCGTCCGTCCGTCCGTCCGTCCGTCCGTCCGTCCGTCCGTCCGTCTGTCTGTCTGTCTGTCTGTCTGTCTGTCTGTCTTGCTGTCTGTTACCGCATCACGGAAAAACTACTGGAGGGATCTGAACGCGGGCGGAGCCGCGGGCAATACTAGTACACTATATTTTCTTATATACATACGCTTAACTTAGAACATTACAAACGCTGCTACAACTTTTGTCCATTCAATCCAGTTTTTACAGAAAATATGTTTTTTTTAATAACACTAAAACTTGTTTATAGCTAAACAAGAGAAAAGAAAATCGGTTTACAAACAGAAAAAGATACTGACTGAATTGTATTGCCTTTGCCTATTTATATGTATATATAATATAATATGAAACAAACTTTTACAATTTTAGTTAATATAGTATTAGATAATACATGTAATAAGTTTAATTATCAAGAATCTAGTACAAATGTAAAATACGTCAGGAGACAGTTGTGCTAGTTGGCAAATACTACTGAATGACGCTTTATAGTATACTAGCAGACCCGACCACGCGTTGCTGTGGCACACAAATGAAAATCGGTAATTTTGCAATAAGAAAAAAAGAAAATAATCGGGATAAATCCATCCTATCTTTTAAGTTGGAACAATTACAGATTTTGAAAAACAAAACGTTAAGATTGGATAAATAGTTTCCGAGTTCATCCCGGACCAACATCGTAACACGGGAATTTTATATATTAAGAGAGCCCCTTGAGTAAAAATGTCTTTGTTTTAGAGTTTTTGTCAGCGGCTTGAATAATTTTGATGATTTTTTTAAGTTTAAAACACATATTAACAATAAAAAATCTAAAATCTATTAATAATTGTTCCATCTTAGTATACATTCAAATAAACAAACATAATCCCTTTATTATTTATACGTACATATTATTGTAAGTGAAATACAATCCTCATATAAAGTGAGATAGAATCCTCATAAAAAGTGAGATAGAATATCTCTATCAAGAACACAATATGTTATTTGGCAATGTTGTTCTCACGGTATGACTTATTGTTCCGAGTTTATTGTCGCGAGTTATAAAAGACAATTATTTACGAATTCACGCCAATATTCTCTAATATAATTCCCGACACAGTTTCTATGTACATTGATATTTCACTGTAATATTTTATTTATATTATACTGGTTTATTATATTTAAGTATAAATTTTATTTTTATAAAATTAAATTGTGTTATGATGAAAGCAAGCATAGTGAGGAAACCTGCATGTCTGAAAAAACCTAGCAAGTTTTCGAAAAACATGTAAAGTCCGCCAACTCGCACTTGGCCAACGTGGCGGACTTATAGCCTAATAGTATGGAAGAGAGGCTCGTGCCTAGCAGTGGGACGTTAAAAAGGGTTGATTACATATGTACATATGTACGTTTTGATTTGTTGAAGATATACTAGCTATGTATACTCTTAATTATTTCTTTTTACATAATATAATAACTAATCGTGATTACTAAACTCATGCCTGATTTCACCAACGTCACCTAAGTTTAAGGGATCCCCTAAGCATGGTTACGGGGCTGTTAGGGGACAGTTTCTGTTTCACCGACAGTTAGGGGTCACCTAAATATTAAAAGGCCCCCTAAATTTATGTGCTCGAAATTTGGGCTTAAAGATGATCGTAAAACGAAATTTAATTTAGGGGCTAGTTTAGGGGACTTTTAAGCTAGGGATCCCATACGTAGGTGGTAGCTTATGGGTGGTTGGTGAAATCGGGCATCAGTCTTATTATACACATGATATCTTCGGCAATTTGTATCTAAGTTTATGATTCTGTGTTGTTTATATTTCAATGAATATTTTATATCTTAAGACTAACCCTATATAAATGTCAAGACAAAATTAAAACGACTTTATTATGTACATTTTAAAGTATATATAACGTTATCGTGAAAACGCAATTATTATGAGATTTTTTTTTTTTTTTTTTATGGGACTAAGGGGGCAAACGGGCAGGAGGCTCACCTGATGGAAAGCGATCACCGCCGCCCATGGACATCTGCGACACCGCAGGGCTTGCAGATGCGTTGCCGGCCTTTAAGGAAAGTGTACGCTCTCTTCTTGAAGGTGGCCAGGTCGTAGCGGTTCGGAAAGACCGCCGGCGATAGCTGGTTCCACAGAGTGGTTGTGCGAGGCAGAAAATGCCTTAAAAATCGCACTGTGGTGGAACGCTGGACATCGAGGTGGTGTGGATGGAATTTACTATTTTGGCGCGATGTCCGATGATGAAATTCAGCAGCCGGGATCAGTCCGAACAATTCCTCGGAACACTCCCCATGATAAATGCGGTAGAAGATGCAGAGTGATCCAACATCTCTACGCAGAGCTAAAGGATCAAGCCGATCGGAGAGAGCTTGATCGTCGATAACTCGAGCCGCCCTACGTTGAATGCGGTCAAATGGAAGTAGCTGGTACTGGGGAGCTCCCGCCCAAAGATGAGAACAGTACTCCATGTGGGGCCGAATTTGCGCCTTATAAAGAATAAGACGCTGACGCGACGTGAAGTACTGTCTCGCCTTGCTGAGCACACCAAGCTTCTTTGAGGCCAGTTTGGCCTTACCTTCCAATTGACCACGGAACTGGACGTTGCTCGAGATGTCGACGCCAAGTATTCCGATACTGGCTGTGGGAGACAGAGGAGTGTCCTCAAATTGAGGAGCTACGATAAATGGCGACTTTTTAGCGGTTAACGCGCAAACCTGTGTCTTTTTGGGTTAAATTGGACTAAGTTTAGTCGACCCCAATCCGAGACTTTGGTTAACAAAGATTCGACTTCAGACACAAGTTTGTTCCGGCTCTCGTCGACGAATTCCCGAGAAATATTAGCGCGGCCAGTGTACAGGGCATCCACAGTGCTATCGTCTGCATAGCAATGAATGTTGCTGATTTGCAACATGTCATTGATATGCAGAAGAAACAGAGTAGGAGACAGTACGCAGCCTTGTGGAACACCAGCATTGACATATTTAGGATCAGAGCAAGCACCGTCGACAACGACCTTGATGCTCCGATCTGCCAAAAAGCTGGCGATCCAGTTGCATAATTTCTCGGGGAGCCCGAAGGAAGGTAGCTTCGAAAGAAGCGCTTTGTGCCATACCCGATCAAAGGCCTTCGCTATATCCAGACTGGCTGCAAGTGCCTCCCCCTTGGTCTCAACTGCTTCTGCCCATCTATGTGTTAGGTAAACTAGAAGATCACCGGCTGAGCGACCTCGACGGAAGCCGTACTGGCGGTCACTGATCAGCCGGTGCTCTTCTAGGTACCGCAGGAGCTGGCAGTTAATAATGGACTCCATTATCTTGGAGAACAAGGAGGTAATGGCTATAGGCCTGTAATTGGACGGATCCGAGCGGTTGCCCTTTTTTGGGATCGGGTGCACTAAAGCGGCCTTCCAGGATTTCGGGACTACGCCTAGTGAATAAGAGTGCCGGAAAAGACGCGTTAAGACCGGTGCCAACTCCGGAGCACATGTCTTCAACACGATCGGAGGGATGCCATCGGGCCCACTCGACTTATGAATGTCCATGGAAAGAAGTGCTTTCCGAACTGCACTTTGCCGAAACTGAACTTCCGGCATGGTAGTATCACACCGCGGGATTGTCGGTGGACTTAAAAGATATTGATAGAAAGCAGAGGTTTTCTACTAGCAGCTTTCCCCTTGCACTAGGGATAAATAGTTAAATAATACATAGAGGACAAACAAACATACAAAAAAATATCAATTCACCAAAGTTTTATCACAATCGGATGAATGGTTTAAGAACGTCTGGAGTAAAAACATACAAAGAAACATTCATTTTAACCC